AGGTCCGGATGGCGTTGTTCTGAAGGACAGAATAGTTACACATGAAGGGACATAAGCAAGTGATAGCTACAGCGCTGTGTAGCCTCATTTGATGCCATATTACTTCTGCTTTTTTAAAGACAGCACAGAGCTTTGTGTCTATACTTACAGCATATTGGTAGGAGAGGTTGTACGGTCTGTCGTTAGCTCGAAAAAGTCTCTCCTCCTCTGTTAGAAAAGAATAATGAATTATGTAAGCATCAGTACCATGAGTCCATGTACTGTATGTTACACACTTTAGGACATATACAGACACACAATAACATTTGTGAGCTTCCCAACTCACCTATCTTCTTCTCTTTCCCACACAACCCGCTAAAGAATGACGTTACGGATCCCATGTTTAGTTCTCCATATCTCACACCTGGAGGAAGAGCTTGTGTTTACATATCACAGAATAAATAGAACTTATTGAAGTGAAGTGAACCATACAGACATATCAACTGAAAAGGGAAACTGGCATGAGTGAGGGGGAAGCAGTTTATTTATGGTAGGTCATGTTTGTGTTTAGCTTTGGTTCAGTATGAAAAGATATATAGATGACCAAGTGCTAGCAGAGGAAATAAGTGATTTCATTTAAGCAAAAACAATTGTAAGGAAGAAACGGGGGATAAAAAACAACAACGAAAAAATATGTTTTTTAGCCTTAAACAGCAAGGTGTGTTCAATTATACACTTGTGTCATTATGCATCACATGTGGTGTTATTAGTCAATTTATAGTTAGCCAAGGCTGGAGACCATCTTTTGACGTTAATTGCAAGCTTTTTTAAAAATAGTCGCAATCTTAGTAAAGTAGCTATTCGTCATGGAACTAAGGACTACGGTCAAGGACTCCCTGGATCAAGACATACAATTGATTAAATTATATTAAATATACTCTTAAGTGACATCACTATGTAACACTCGCTCTAACACATTGTACGTGATAGGCTAATGAGCGGGAAATCTCTAAGCGGACCAATCACAACCGGTATTATGAGAAAAATGAAGCATTTTGGACATTAAACCATGCAAACATGTCACGGTCGAGGCCTAAAATTCGAATATGAAACCAGAAAATGAGCATAATAGGACCCCGTTAAGTGAGAAAACACACAGCTCTTTCATTAAGACAATATCAGGCAACATCCTTGAGACGTTATCTGTGCTGCAGTGCTGTAAAGACACATCTAACCGCTCCCTTCTCAACCCTTTGTACCACAGTGAAGTCTTTGGCACATAATCCATGATCGCAAAGATTAAGATAGCGATATGACCATGAACCTCTGACTTGTTCTGAATCAGGTGAGGAGAAGAAAACTTTGAATACAAAACAGAACATCTTGTTTTTGCCTCATAGTTGTGATTTTGTATAGTCTTGGAACAACAGATCCTTTCAAAAGTGGAAAAGGAAGAGTGGGAAATGTTCAGGGTGAAATTCATAACTATAAAAGTAAGCCAAAGGATGGTGCCTGCTTGAATATATAGCAAAGAAAATAAACCAGCTACTATTCTATACTGTATTCCTTATCGATATTAGTCAAAAATATCCTACACCTTAGAGAAAAACACTTTTCTCACAACTACACTACTGCTAATAGCTTGACCCCGATTTGTGTTGTTATATAGATCCAAACTCACTCTGTATATTGTTCTCACAACACTTTGAAAGAGTTATTGTGAATCGGAAGTGTGCCACCAGGCTTGGACTTTGAAATGAGAGAAACATTTGAAATACATGACCTTTCTAAGGGTTTAAAACGTGAGCCCATTTCCTCAAAAGCGCCTGAACATCCACCGATTCCCCAAGGTGTGCAACCAAATGTAAAACAGCCACATACCTGAAACAAAAATGGGTTTTCCCGCAGACACAGACTCAGGGAACACAGGGCCCTAAAAAAAAAATAGAGGACAAAAACAAATTTCAATCGTCCCTTTGCCTCCGCTTTAAACGAAGTAAATCCAGGCCTTATAGAGGTCTGTTTGGACGTCCAGGCTCCAGCAGAGAGGACAGACGGGGCCCTCCAGCCGGGATGAAAGACACGCAGGATGGACGACAGGTGAAGTGGTGACAGAGGCGCCTGCAGCAGAGGTTTCAGGTTCGTGCAGGAAGAGCTGGGATCCCCCCGCGGCCAACAGCTCAGGGCCTTGAGTAAACACTGCAGCGATCTTTGGACCTGGATGGTAAAACGGGGCAGGACGGGGGCTGTAAAACAACAGTACAGGTGAACGGCTACAGCCAATCAGAGCCAACGTTAGGGTTGTAACAGGGGCGGTCAGGTATGTAACACACCCTGTGAGGCTGTGCATGCTCACACTGGGGACTTACCCCTACAATATCAGTACCTAAAAACAGTTTACATATACTTACATGTAGGAAATGCCAATCATCGGTCACATTTTTGATAAATTACTTAAAATGACAGCTCCATATATTGTGACTTCCTGACTGATATGCTCTTCCAAAATGGAATTTAATATGTGTGCTCAAACACAAAGGAACCCAGTGTCATCCAGGGGACTTCAACATGCTCGCTAAATTAGTTATTGTGTTGTGTGTGTGTCGTGTACATGTACATAGATGCCTACAGTATCTGCATGTATGCACAAATACTACCAACAACAAAAGTCCCGATATATTGTTTGTCCAATTCAATATGCAAAAGTACCTGCATTATACTGTATGCAAGCAAGCGTGCTTTTATTTTATGGCTATTCCGACCCACAATCCTTTGCAGGGGGTATACTGTTTAAGCATTGGGGTCAAAGCTCAAGGCACTATGTCATGACAAAGTAGTATGAGCCAAATGGATGCATACTGCATGAGACACTAGACCTTTTATTTATTACCACCCTTTTATTTTATGTTATTGTTTGTTTTGTATTGCTTTTTATTCATTCTACTGTGTTGTGTACTGTTTTTATACTGTTCCATGCCCACTGCTTGTAGCACTTCGAGATTTGAAGTCAAATATGAAGTGCTTTATAAATGAAACCCATTATTATTATTATTATGCAAAAAGGAAAAAGGACAAGATTTGGAACGCAGCAGTGATTCGTTTTTTTTAAGATGATGCAACTCCACAGAAGACACTAAATGATGTCACGTGTATCAATTTTCAGGCACCATCAAATTGAAATTGAGGAACATTTAGCATTTCACTAGTGTTATGAAATTGCTCTGCCTGTTTAACAAGAATACCCAATAGGAGAAAAAGCATACATGCATTTCATATCATCAGTTGTTGGATTATAAAGGGTCAGTTTGGCTACATTACAGTAAAAGAAGGAGATGTTTGCTATTATTTGTCTTGGTTTTGACAAATGTATGACACATTATTAAATTAATATTGATAAGATGAAAAATCCAATCAAAACCTGTGGTTCATATCAGTTGGGGAAAAAAAGCAGGTTCACAAAGGTATAGATACTTCTCAAATACTTTATACAAAATTCATTATCGGAATGTTGACAAGGTGACAATACAAAGAAAACACCACAAAATGGCAGTTACTGTGACTGATACACTTGTTAACTATTGCAGTGATTTAGTGCAAGGGTTAACACATTTTAAAATAAAAAAAGAGAGAAAGATCAAAAGTGAACACTTGTAACTTGGCACGAGGAACATGTATATTAAAAGAGGCTATGAACCATTTCGTATTCACAAAGGATAACGTACTGTAACAAAGACAAGTCGGTTTAAAAATATGCACACATTGAGGTTCTCATATTATATATTCATTAAAAGTAACATTATAATATCCTTTCATCTGTTATACACATTCACTGGATCTCACTTCATATTACTCCATAGAACAGAATGTGATTGACATCTTTAAAAAGGAAACTTAACACAAAATAAAACTAAGAGATACAGTTAGAAATATCAAAGATAAAAAAAGACAAGGTACATCACTTGGAAAATGTAATAGACATCCTAATGGGCAAAGACTTGGGCAAAGACTTGGCAAAATTAAATACAAGGATTTAAAAAAAAGGTTAAAAAGATACACATTTCACCAAAGTAAGGCCACTCAGACAGAGCAGGAAGAGAGTTGTAAACCACAAATAAATCTACGCTCGTGTTCAAATGTTCAGATATGGTGGAAGAAAACGACCTGAAAGTTCGACATGTTTTTTTCCTCAATTATAAATGAACAAAAGACTTCATTATCGCTATTGTCAGTCAAAGACGCGATTCCCCATCATTTAGTTATTAATAAAACACTTTATTCTGAGGGCGTGTAACTCATCTTGTTGAGCTGCAGATCTATGCAACTCGTTCAGACGTACCACTCTGTGCAAATAAAAAATAAAAAAACCGGTAAACAACAATTTCAATCTAGGGCTTTGGAAAAGCACAGACAAAGAATAAATATGTATAAAAAAATAAATAAAATGGCTGCACCCTCATGGTTGAGTAAATGGAGCTTTTTGTGAGGAACAAATCTGGCCATAGCAGGGTTCACTTTTTTCGCATTTTTAATTATTTAAATCATATTGTTGTTGATTATATACGTATTATATCATTATTCTTTTCCTGGGGGGACACAGGAATGAGAGTTGAAAATGGCAAGGCACATCCTGGTAAATCCTTTAAATTCAGGGAATACAATATCACTTTTAAGTACCTTCTCTTGACATTAACTGTCCACGATATGAAACCAGTACATATTTCATCACTTCCGCTCTATTCAATAATTGACCTATTAAGATATACGCCCGTATCCTAGCTACAAGCCATTAATTTGTTCCAAAAAAAGAAGCCTCTTTTATAAGATTAAGTGAATTCACATTTACTCAAACCATCACAGTGGAGCTACACAAAGAGACTTTTTTGTTTACTTCACACATTCACAGTTGGCAGAGTGTAAGGCATCGAACACATGGCCTAGGTTTGAAGGGGTTTAGGTGGTGGTTGGTGGTGGTGGTTGGTGGTGGTGGTGGTTGGTGGTGGTGGTGGTTGGTGGTGGTGGTTGGTGGTGGTGGTGGTTGGTGGTGGTGGTGGTGGTGGTGGTGGGGGTGGGGGGGTTATTGCACAACAACACTGGGGGAATTGTGGGAACATGTTGGCCCTCCAGCCGGGCCTGGCACCCGATGCTCCCTTGAGGCTGTGGCGTGCGCACTTTGCCTCTCCGGCTGATGAGGAGAGAGGTTAAAGAAGGTTAAATGACAGAGTAAGTGGTCTAGTGCCGAGTGAAACAGCTGGTTAGTGTGAAGGTTGAGTGACTTGTGTGCCGTACAGTAGCTCGGTAAATAATAACAGGAGTGATTGAAGAACAAGGAGTCCAAAACACCCAGAGTGTGAACGTGACAGTGTGTCGGTGACTTTGATAAGGCGCCATCAAACAGTCAACAGCAGCTAAGACACGTCAAGTAAAAGTGGTTGTAAAAAAAATAAATGACCACAGGTTTTTTTTTAGATCTTTGTGAAATCAGAAGACCTTCGAATTCCGTCTTTGTCTCTCCAGCTCCTCTCATCTGCCCTCCTCGGCCGATCGAGTTTCTGATTTCAGCTTCACGAACTCCTTGGCCACGTCGTCGCTGGAGCGCTGGGAGAGGATGCGCATGGCGGTGAGGCCCGTGTCATCCATCTGGATGCGTTGGCCCAGATGACACCAGCACACGCAGCTGCCCTTCCCCGTGATGTCTTTGAGCTGTATCACAGACATGCCGACCACTCTGTCTGCGCGGCCGAAGCAGTAGTCTTTGACGCAGAGTTGCAGCTCGTAACACTCAAAGCCCTCCTGTTTACCCAGAACACTGCAGGGAGAAACAGTCATTTATCAACACAGCAGCAGGTTGGTCAACTTGGGTTAAGAATGTACAGAGGAGCACCCTGTTTAAGTAAGGCTGCAACCAACGATTATTTAGAATTGTTTGGTTTATAGACAGTATAAAAAGTGTAATACACCATTTTTCAGAGCCCACTGTCAACTACTAGAGAAGCTTGAAGTGCTATTGTCTTTGGTCTTTTTTTTCCATTCTGGTTTTTGGATAGAGATTTCTCTCTATCTAATTGACAATATAAACTATTGGTCAATTACTCAACTAATCATTGCCGCTGTAGTTTTTAGTACTGAACCTGGCATCTAAAGCAGCCACATATCATGGATTAGCCTGTTTGGCAAACATAAACATCACTGCCTAAGGTGAAATACTTAGCACATCACTGTAAATGTAAAAGTCTCATGTATACTCTAAATAAACAAGATAAGGGGAAAACAATAACATGGCTAATGTCAGGTATCCAATGTTCAACATCAATAAAAAGGAGATTACAGTGGTCCCTTTTCCTTTACTTTTCATGAAGAATTAAGAAAACGGATACTTACAATTGGAAAGTCTCGTTGAACTTTGGAGACCAGCTGTTGTTCTTGGATTTGGTCTGGAATTTGCGTTTCTTGTCGCTGAGGTTAGGCCCGATCATGGTGACCTCCACGAAGGGTCGGAACATGCCCGACGTCTGCCATTTTATATCGTTGGCTCCTATGACTAAATACGCAAAATGGCATTAAAATCACACTTGGTTTTAAAATTGCCACACATTTAGCACCACGTTATGAAAACTCAAACAGACCTTTGACGGAAACTTTCTGCTCCTTGTTCCCAGGATTCGTGTGCAGCTCAGTCTGCACTGTCACCTCACCAATTGGCTTGTCCACGCCTGAAGCTGGATAAATGCACAGACAAAGAAATTAGCCTATATTTGGCCAAATAAAGGAACAGAAATGTGTAATACACAATGCAGAGTAGGTATGAAGAGGGGGTGCAGGTGGAGAGGTTAGGTTAGGGTTAAAAGTGAGGCACAAAGTGACAAAATGTACAAAGAGGGAGCGGTTGGGGAGGGAGAAAGGGGCTAGCAGATGATTTAATGAGACCTACCCCTGCTGGGCTGTGTTTTCTCATTGGGAGTCAACCTCATACCCTTCCCATTGTGCACTGGCACAGAGGCAGCAGAGGAGATAAAAGAGAAGACAGCAACAACATGTCAACACATTTCTGCATCAAAAACACTTCAAATACACAGGTGCAAACCAAAAACACACAAAACAACAGGTGCAAGGAGGGGGTATTATCAAACACACTATATGGAGGTAGATTTGTGTAAATATTATTTGTGTGACCAAATCGACAATCCCTGTTTAATCTGTAAATGTAAAAAATGGCGAAAGAATATTTAGAAATTATAAAACAGATCTGCAAATACACTAACAAATTCAACAAATAAAATAAATCTGTGAAAACATTAAATTAATTTACAATTAAATGAAAAGCATTTGTAAATATATGTCTAACAGTGACAACTTTCAGGCATTCATGAGTTTTTACATTTTTATTTATGAATGGAGAAATGATTTTACTTTTACTCTTGACACACAGACAGCAACACAAACTATGTGTTTATGACGTGGTTTCCACATTTTAAAACAAGAGCATGAGGTCGGATTATTTGCAGATCCGTTATCTTTTCAAAATCTTTTCTTGAGTTTACAATTATTTTTGTGCATTTGTGGAAGGTGTTACATTTGCAGATTACACATTTACACACCAATTTTCAATCAGTTTACACAATAAGCCAATCCAACTCCATGTACATAGTGCCCTCTCCTGGTCTAACATGGGACATTTTTCAGATGTGTTATTATGGGGGGGTCAGAAGTACCTTGTGCTTGCTGGGTGGTCACAAAGGTCTTGATGAGTGTGTCTGTTGACTGAGTGTAGAGGGACAGCGCGTGGCGTAGCGACGATAGCTCGGGACTTTTCTCCAGGAACGCCTTCTTCAGCCCGTTGCCTCCTGCGTGGAAGTATTGCTGCAAAGGAAAACCGAAAATGAGTCGGCATATAAAAGTCTGGAAGAACAACTGGTGGTTTACTGTATTTTGGTCAAATAGTAATAGGAACTCTAGGTCAAATAAATAACTCCTTAGCAAGATGAATACGCATTTAATTTGACTAAAATTACTCTAGTCTGTACTCTACATCTAAAGGCAATATTCCAAAGATATGAGAGCCAAGATGTACATCCTCTAATCCAAAAACCCCAATGGCTTCTTAATTATATTTCAATATCAAGAAAAAGAAAAAATCACTGTATTTTGAAACTAAAGAGGAAAAACTGTGAGGTTTAACAAAAACATAATAATTTTACCATTTTCTTTGCAAAATGTTCTAGCTTTCAAGCTGCTTACATAACCTTTTAGAATACTTGATTAATGGATGAATAGTTGATGAATGAAACCAAAACCTGCAGTATAAACTGACCTTGATCGTGTCCAGTGCCACATCCATGACAGCACACTGCCTGGGAGACAGGCTTTTAGCCTCCCCCGCCATGTGATCCTGCACATCCACATGGAGAGCAAAGACACAAGTTAAATCCACAACACATCTATTAAGGTCATTTAATCTAACATGCTTTAAAATATTAGAATATTCCATTTACAAAAAGTACTTTTAGTCAATCTGCGTATTCTGTTAAAGCTGCACTAAAATGGAAATCTATCCACAATAACATTTCTTGTGTCATTTTTTTGTTTTTATTAGCATTTCCTGTAGAATGAGCGCCTACTGTATATTGCACACTGTTATTGTTTTATTAACTCAAGAGTATTTCAAAGTATTATAATTAGTTTGTTTCAGGTTTTTTGTCCCGGGATGACAGATGAAAAACAGACTCATGGTTACTCTGCCGCTTTAACAGAAATGTCTTTTAGTTTGCACTGACCCTGTTAAATAAACTCACAATAATAAACATGAATAAATTATAGTACCTTGAGTTTGGAGAGCTGACCCAGTTCTTTGGCAGCTGAGAGAATCTGTGCTCCCTGAAAAAAAAAAGAAAGAAGGGGAATTCATTTTTTTGCTGCGGTTATAATATGACGTTTCACTGTAAATGTGGAATGCTGTTGAGCTTACAAAGGTGTCGTTGCCCTGTGGCAGGACTATAGTCTTCTCCAGGCTACTCATTACGATCCTCCACAGCTCCTTCAGCACACGCTTCAATACGGTCTTCTCACAAGCAGTGGCAAACAGTGTGAGCCTGCAAACACACAATACATTCAGCAAAGTGTGAAAGCAAAATGTGAAGTAAAATGTTGCCTTGTTGTTATATATTGTTGGGCAGTTTAATCTACAACGGACAAGGTTCTCTAGGGGTCATTGCACCTTTGAAATTGTCTGTAAATGTGGCAATATTGGCAATTTATTGTATTATTCATCCACTCACTTTCCATCCAGGAAGTCCATGAGTGGCCGCAGCATGTTGTCAGAGTCGGCGTCCACCTGGTTTTTGTTGTTGTCATTGAGCGGCCCTTTGATCTGGTACAGCAGAGACGCCATCTGTCGCATGCAATCGTTGATGCGGCTCTGGAAACTACAAAGGAAAAAGAAGATGATCAATCGGCACAAATACATGTGTGGTCACAGATTTAAATGTAAAACAATGTGTTTTTAGGATTAGGGTACCTGTTCCCGAATGTTCTGCTGAGCTCATCCAGCACGTTGTTCAGCTTCACCTGCAGGTCGTTCAGCAAGTCACTAGCCTCGGAGTCCATCTGCAGAGAGGATCGAGGAAGGGTGTTTATTAGGATTTAACAGGGTTTTTTTGCATATAAAAGAAAAATCCTAAATATTTAAACTCCAAAGTATGTGCTAGTTTTGGAGCTAATGTAATTATTTAACTTCATAATTGCAGATATTAGAATCAAAATCCATCCAATAAACTTGCTGCACTTAAGCGCAAATTCTAGAAGATACAAGTAGAAGCAAGAGTATAAGATTTTAAATAAATATCTTCACGTTATTATGAAAAATGTACACCGATGCCACCAGTCCAGCTTCATACAAAGGGGGTCCCAAAAAGAGGAAAGAGGCAGGTTTTATGCTGCATTCATGTTGTGTCGCAATAACCTTAAAAAAGGAATACTCAAAACATTTTTCAAGCAAATCAGGAAGTCTGAGACATTTTTGGAACAAGACTTGCGGAAGTTCACCTCGTGTTACGCAGAAAAATGGCGGACAAAAGTGATAGTAAAAAGGTTTAATATTAATCCATACAGTATGAAACAATATAGAATTAGGTTGTAACTACTAGTTGAAAGTGTTGTTATAGTTTATTTAATAAAAGAGCACAAAGTGACAGTAGATAGATTAGTTGCAATTTGGTGCTATAAATAAGTATTATTAAAAAAAAAAAAACACCTTGAATTTCCGGGGGGGCGCGGGGCTCCGTCAAGACAATGGTAGGGGAAACACTGGTGACCTCTAAATGGCAAAGTTAGATATATCCGAGTTTTGGTAGTTTTATGAAAATTGCTGTTGCAACAACAAGCCTGGGAAATACCTCTTATTTTCTAGCTAGCATTTTGTTTCACAGCTCATGGACACACCCAAGACGGAACTTCCTAACATTGTAACTGGGACTATCCAATGGCATGCAAAAGCACCAAAACTCTAATAATGTTTGTAATATACACTCCATCACAAAAATCATAATTGTGGTTTGTAAAGAGTATAATAAATTATTAAAATTCAAGGCACACATCCGAGTAAAACCCACCTTTTTACCAGCAATGTCAATCTTTCGAAGGTAGCGCATAAAAAAAAAAAAAAAAAAAAGTTTAATATTGCAGGAGATGTGCGTGTCATACAACTCACACAGGCACAGGGCGACGGAACAAGTAGGAAAGCAAATTACCTTTCAGTATACCTAACGCAGGTATACTGTGGGACATCTAAATAAGCACTGCCTGCAGGGAAGCTAAACCGTGGCACGGATCATTAAGTCAATGATCCAATGGCCTTTTGATTCATGGCCTGTCAGGGTGGTGTAGGACCATTAGTGAGGAGAGACTGAGACGCAGCACAAAGGGAAGGCTTCAGGGGAGGAAAGGCAGCTAGGGATGGATTGTGTTCGTTTGTAATGTGCTCTACGGGTTTTGTTTTGCCTGGGAGTATTTTTGGGGGATATTAATATTTATGGTTCTTTACTCCTGCACTCACCTTCTTGTCTTCACATGGCTACGACAGCATAGAGATGTAGAGGGTAACAGAGGACAACCTCGATTAACATTTAATCTCCCATTTGGAAATTCATTTATTTTAAAAAGACTACGGAGAATCGATTACCATTACACAAAGTGCTGTGGCAGCAGATACTGGAATGCATACCTTGTCTACTGGTTCATCAATCTTTGTGTGGTCGTAATGGTAAAAAAAATGAAAATGAAAAACTGTTAAACGACTCCTGTTCTGTTACTGCATCCCTGTATAGTAAAATCTAAAGAATACAAATATTTTTTTACAAAAAGGTTTTTCCCATTGGAAAGATAATGCCGTATTTCACCCACCTTCTCCGAGTCAGGCTATTGCAACAAAAAGTTACAAAGAAAACACAAAATTAAAGAAAGGAAACAACAAAATGTCAGAAATAACCTTTTTTTTCCGGGGGGGGAATGACTTTTGAAGGAAAGGCTAACAAAAGTGAAAGAGGGTAAAGATTTTGAGGTGGAATTCACCACAGATGACCTGATAAAAAATGAACACAATAAACTCCACCATGATAACCACGCTTGTGTCAGTAGGACTGAGTATCACTAAGATGTTGCTGTGAGTAGGAAGAACATGGCCCACAAGAATGATGAGGTTAAAGCACTTCACACTGCAACAAACCTCAACCTCATTTTTCTCCCCTACTTCTTCTTCTTCCTCCTCCTCCTCATCATCATCACTCTCCTCAAACTGGGAGTGGCAGTGAAAAGACAACACAATGTAGTTAAATCTCACTGCCGTAAAATACCACAATCGTAATCAACAAAGTTTGTTTGTTCAAGATCATTTAAGAGCTTCTATTTTGCACAAAATTATAACAAGTGATGTCAACATTTGAGTATATGCAAACATGCATCAAACATGTTTGCATATACAGAGAACTTGCCTGCCATGCTAGCATTCTATTGTTGGGCTAGAAAAAGAGAGGGAAAAACATAATTGAGACCCAAAACGGATTCACTATTTATGTAGTAATGACTTGAGACCGACCGTTGCATTTTCACCCAGAGTAGACAACAAGATAAGCACATCCAGTGCATGCTAACTGATCATTTAGCCTAACCTAGCCTTAGCTAAAGCTAAACCTTTAAATTACAGATTGATTTATACCATAGGATTAAAGAAAATTACCCATGTTGATTTAATTTAATGAAATCAGTAATATAGTTCCATATCCAGATTATGAAATTAGTAGTAGTTGAACCCCAGAAAAGAATAAAAAACCACATCTCCTGCTAGCGTTAATTAGCTTAGCATACCTCACAAGCTAACAGCTTGGCTTTTGACTGATGAATTTTATATAATTCGGTGTAGCTATCTTTAAAATCACATACTTAAAACTATCAAAATTTAAATCAATATGTGTCAATATATTTTAATTTCCTATATGCTATAGCTTGCGAATAAGGAAAATAAAGTTCACTCTGAAACAAAAGGCTACATTTGACCAGAAAGCTGAAAACATTTTGGTGGTAGATACAACTTCCACTTCCGTAAAGAATATTCTTCGCTGAACTCCAGTATCTTATGATTTCCTGATTTTAAGCCACTCACTTAACATCTCAAAGAGCTCACGTGTAACATCAACATTAGTAAAATACTTGCAAGACAAAGTGACTTATCTCAACAACCAACCTTAGAAATAAGTTCTAAATAACCATTTTTTTCTACAGATGTGGCGACCTTCAGTTTTCTTTTTAAAGCCATGGTTGCAGTGACTTTGGTCTGACCTTTCCCCAAGCAACACCATGAAGTACACATTTGTACTTCATGAAAAAACAAATAGGCATACATAACAGGGACATTTGCGACAGACATTTATGTCCTACGTCCTGACTACCAATCAAGTGTCATCATCAGGTAAAACATTTGAGAGGGGGTGGCTAAGTAAGATAGTGGATATACGGGTCTCTACACTACAGTTGAAACTACTACCAATGATTCTAATATGCTACCACCCACAGTACCCACCAGAGCCTCTGCTTCATTATCCTCAGTCATGACCTATTTCCAAGTCAGAGGCAGATGAAGATAATCAATACAGGGGTGTACCACACACCATTTAACTGATTAAACAACCAAAATATGTACTTTAACATCTGCCCGTTTCGGCTACTCAGAAAGACCATGAAGGAAACCTACCTCCTCTTCTCCTGCCTGTTCCTCCTCCTTCATTTCCTCCTCATTTTCCTCTTCCATCTCTCCATATAGCTTTAGTTGTAAAGTGAACACACTGGTTGAAACTCTAGCTACAGTGTCTGACAACTGTAGTCCTACAATCGACCACAAAAAAGCTACATCTACACTAAATGGGCTAAAACACTTAATGTAAAAGCATGGCGAGTGATTTAAAGCAGTGGGAGGTCAGATCTGACACAGAGGCTATTGATTGTTCTCACTGTAGCTACACTAAGACATTAATAGAGGACATGATTTCATTAGGTATGAGGCTAATCTCTGTCAGTATTGATCTATGCTTATGCGTCATTGAAAGCATCACATCAGACATCGGGACGGCGTATTGACCTGTTTAACAACTTCCAGTCCGGCTTTATTAGGAACAAAGATGATGTCCTAGTACGAGGATAGTACGAGGATTCTACTTCACATGGTCACAACTAAGACTACTGAACCTACCAGCACTTCTTCTGTCGCACTCTGATACACAAGAGACACAAAATAATGATGAACAAGGAACCACCGCTAGAATATGTGCATTTCTTACTCAAGATTATTTTCTTTCTTTTAAGACATCATATTAGAGTTCAAATATATTAAATAAATAAACAAATAAATAAGTAGCCAGGGTAGTAACTTAAAACCCACAATGGCCCTAATACTGCATTGCTATTAACATGATCGTAGTGGTATACTCCAGTCATCCATCCCGTTTGAAGCCACAGCACATCATGCTCACCTTTGTCTTTATGCTTACCTGTTTTGCACCCATCGACTCAAACATCTTCTCCAGCTGGATTCTTAACTGCTGCACGTTATTCAGCAGGACACATGGCTGCCAGAGGACAATGGAAACACATTACACACATGTAGCAGGAACTCTACAGGGAATTGTAATAACTATTATATTGAATATTCAAAACCTATGTAGAAGAAGTTTGAGGAAGACATGTTATAAGGTGTTGACAACTTACAATCTTCTCCTTGTCAATATAAGTAGGAAAACTCTTGGTCAGAATGGCACTGTACTGCAGAAGAACTTTGGCAATAGTCTGAAAGAGAGAGAGAGAAAATAAATGTATTTAAAAAGTGTATGGAACAAAATGTCGCCTGGAACAAAAAGTTTGAAATCCGATTACTTTTTTTTTCCACGGGGACTATACAGTATTACATCGAAGGATCACTCCCAACTTTTGGTATTAAAAACATTCCCAATTGTCCTGTAATCTATTTTCTGGCATTCAGGAACAAAGAATTGGAGGGAGGGGAGTATTACCACCAATACAACATTTATTTTTAATGAGAAAATATAAAATTCCCTTGAGAATGTCCCTCCAGACAATGCTGTAGCCATTTTGTTATTTTCCCTATATCTTACATTTTCCTTACATCTTTTTTTTCTAGCATAATCAAATATTTATAGTTATTTTCTGCTTCATGATCCCCGATGTATTATCAATTATGCACATTTTAGACCTAAATCCATGTTTCATGTAGCTCCAGCAACTAAAAGTTACAATAATGCAATGGTTTTTTTTTTTTCCCCTGTTGAATTATTTTGCAATGTGATGTACTTGATATCAGATTTTTGTGTCGGGTGTTACCATGGAGAAGCGGCGGCTGTACTGAGCCATGACAGCGGGGTCGGGACACTCCAGTTTCTTGATGATCTCAAAGCTCTGGTTGAGCTGCGTGAAGATGTCCACCACGGAGCAGGAGAACAGAGCGTGCTCCGACGTCTGCTGGAACTGAGACACAAAAAAATACATTGACCATACAGTTATTAGAGTTTTAAAAATATCTACATGCTGTAAAACAAAAACGTTCAAATCAGAAATTAAGGTTAAACCATTTTTATGAAAGACCATCATACAGCTGAAGTAACACGACAACAAAAGTCCATTTTCAAGTAGCCCTCTTTTTTTTTATATCCTATTAAAGTGAATATATTTTGGTTTTGGAATGACAAAACTACGACTTTCCAAAACCAGTATTTTTCAGTTTTCTGACATTTTTTGAACAAACAAATAATAGACGACACTAGAAAATAATGGGCAGAATTATATATAATAAAATAACCATTAGTAGCAGCTAAAGTCAATTTCAACTTTCTTACTCCGTCTTTTTTGTCTCGCTCTAGCGCTCCATGCATGAACTCCATGGACACGCCCTCATTTTCCTCCAACCACTGAAGCACGAATTGTAGGAACCATCTGCAAATAAAAACAATTGGAATTATTTATTCATTTGGATAATATATTATTATATATATATTTCCCAATACCTGGTTTATGGATCAATAAATTGGTAATCAAAAGTTGCTTTAAAAAAAAAGATGTAATGTTTCCCCGTGCCTGCGAGTGAAAAGCACTTACGATGGGTAGTCGGGGACAACGTCCTTAAAGCTCGGCAGGTCTTTGACGTATTCATTGTTGAGCCACTTGACCTTGAAGTGCAGGTTCATGTAGTCGGTGCTCTTACACAGCCTGTGCTTCTCGTGCTCTGCAAATACAAACACATACAGAGAGATGTATGCCATAGCATTATGGGAAAGGGAAGAACCAAGTTTGTTTAGACTAAAAGTCAGGATATCTCCGGCTCGCCATTTTGAACATTCTTTTTTAAACACGTTTCTACAAATACTCATTTCATAACTGTCTTGTGAGGCTTACTCGCCAACATTGATCTGACACAGACTGTCGTTACTGTAGGGGATTCATCTCGAGGACAGGGGCTGTGATACAAATCTGACTGCTTCTGGGGACTGGTAGTGCTCTACAGTACACTTTTCGATGTTTTTAATATACATATTTCTTCTCCGTGTTCTTACACAATTTAGCCCAGTAGAGTAATAATAGTACCATGAGTCTTTGGTATGGTTCTACAGGATATTACGAATAGATATACCCAAGTTTTATCCTATACTATGTGATGATGGATATCTGACACTGGGTGTGACTTACCTTCCATGGCATACTTCATGTCTTGAGCGAACAATGTCCACATGACCTCGGCTGACACCTTCCCCACGTTCATTTCTTGAGGGAATCTAAGAGAGATAGGGGACAATTTGACATACATTTCCTATTCTTAAGCATACATAAACAATCCTACGCAGTTACCACTGGAAAATGGAAAAATATAATATATAATATAATGAATAGACATCCACAACAAATGCATGAGGCAGGATGCAGGGAAACTGCTTAAGATGTTGTAGGTCGTTATGTTTCCTGCAATTAAAAAACAGTTAAAGATAAAGGGAGTGTGTGCATGTCACTAACTGGTTCAGCACAGGCGTGTAGGAGTTCCTGTCCTCTTCAATGATGGAGACGATGAGCATGATGAGTTTGGGCCAGAAGTCCAAGTTCTTGATGCTCGGACCTTGCTCCTCCAAAGAGAGCTCATCTTTGTTCTAGATTAGAAAAACAACACAGTCAGCCACCGAAAAGAGACTTCCAAACAATCAGTTTACATCTGAAACACATGTCTGGCATTACTTACTTACTTAAACAACTAAGTAAAGAGTATAGCAAGGGGTTCTTTGGGAACATTTTGTAGAGGGCGTAATGCAATAGGACCTTAAAAATGCAATTGCTTTGGCACGAGAAAAGACCCTGAATAATAAACAATAAATATTTCTAGTGAGTTCAAATTCATTTTGACAGCCATATCTGACATCTAAATGACAGCAGAGCACCCTCAGAGTGTAGCTCAGACAATGTCCTGATGTCGAATTTCAAAACCAAATCCCTTTAAAATGTAATGTAGAAGCAGCTGGATGATTGGCACATGAGGTTCAAGGTTCTTTATTGTCAAACTAACATAGCTACAGAGTAATTATGTCGTTGAAAATCTTAGGTCACAGGCTTCTCCAACAATGCAACACAATAATACAGATAAGCAGACAATATTAACCAATATTAAAATATACTATATTAAAGGTAATACAAAAAGAAAAATGGTTTTAAAAAAGAAAGTGAGAGAAAAAAAAGTGGAATAGTGCAATACGAGTCTATATACAAGTTATTGGAATGATATATTAGATAATAGATAAATAATGACTAAGTAGCAGATGAATGTTATGACATGACTTACTGTGTCTACAGGTTGGTACTGTCTGCTGTACAGCTCATGGCAGTTATTGAAGATGTAGTCGTATGTGGAGTTGAGGCAGGCCTTGACACAGTCCTTCACCACCTGACTGGCTCTGGGTGGAGACTGTAACTCCTGGACCTAAACACCAGAGGGAGATAGCAACACTGGCAGTGAATGACGGCAAACAATCATTGTTACCCAATTTGTTTTTACATTAAGTTAAAGGAAAGGGTTATCTGCTATAAGGGGAGTAGATACATAAAATACTGTACATCTACACCATCAGGTTGGTATTTCATGGACAAGCTGTGACAAAATGTCATATTTAAAAAACAATTGATAACCGTTTCGTACAGAATGCATAGGTCTTAAAAAGAAAAACATGAAACACTGTTTGCTACCTTCATCCTGAAGAAGGTGATGCTGGTTAGAAGGTCCACCGTGGATTTCAAATCCTGCAGGCGATCCTTGTTGCTGGCAGGAAAGTGGTTCTACAGAGGGAAAATGGTTTTATACGTGTCACAAAATGCAGATTCAAACATTATAATTGCAAGATTTTCCCCTGTTCCTTCTTTAGAGGGTGTCATTTGCTTAACTTTACACAAAGAGACCCAAATACTAACAGTCATTGTAAATTAAACAGTTTTTCTGCAATTGCCTGGGTCATATTAATGAAAACAAGTGAGGGAAGAGGTACTTGAATTCAACTTTGCATATAGAGTGATAATAAAAGAAACCTGAACAACATAGCAAAATAAATATTTAAAGATATCAGGGAAACTATTTACTTTTTCCAAACAATATCAGGCATTAATGGCAGGAATATATATGAGTTACAATCAGATAATTACCCTGTAGGTTGAGAGGTCAATGCGCAGGGAGTTGTGTAGCTGGTCTAAAAGCTTCACAAAGCGTTCTTTCTGTATGGTGAATAAAAGACAAAAACAATGAGATTTCATATGTACACAAACATATTTCTAATTATATAATGTATATGTCTAATAAATAATGAGATTTTAAATGGAAATCAGGATCAGTATTTATATATAAGGACAAAAACACAAATTCTTGTATGTGTTTATGTTTTAATATTAGAGAAAGAAAGAGAGAAAGAAATTAAATACATATGTATTGTCTGTGTGTGCTAAATTAATACAAACCCCAAAATTGGAAGCAGAAAAGCGGTCGGAGGCGGACACATTGGTGGAGGCGGTTGTGTGGGCGTAGAAGGCGTTGATGTTGGCCAGCAGGGTGCTCATCACCGCGGGAACCCCGGGACACATGTACTTAGACGACAGACAGGCAAAGTGCCTTGAAAGAAAAGCACAGGGAATGCTTGATGAAGACCTGGGACATTTGTTTGTCACAGAGGAAAGGTTTTTTTCAAAGCAACGTGGGAGTACAGGGCCATGTCTTTATTTGATCAGCCTGCGTAATCAACTTGTTTTCAGCTAATGATCCCTTTTAGAAACATCTGCCCTGCCGTCGTCATCTGTCCGTCAGCTCATTGGCACATTCAGGGAGAAGGATGGTCCCATTGGGGTGTGCTTTGGGTGAGTGATGGGCCCAGCTATAAGGCATTTATATTGTTGCATGACATCTCATGGAGACAAATCCATCCTCCGCCCATTTATAATTGATTTTCCTTCATTCGGAGGCCAACAGGGAACTACTAAGCCACTGAGAGGCACTTTGATGCGAGAGCAAAAGGTGGATGGGACAAACACATGGACAGGGCTGAGGAGAAAGTTCATATCTGATACTTACGTCATGGCCTGGTAGATTGACTCAATCCCATAGCGCATGGCAAACTCGTCCACGATTTCCTGAGCTACGTCGTCATAGTAGACCTTCCAGGAGTCGTCTCCGCGAGCTTCTGGGATTTTCACCCCGCCTTGGCCGAGAACATCGGTGTAGTGGTGGAACAGGTTCTGTAATGCACGGAGACAATGTGTTAATGTCATCTGAATGGCTTTCATACAGGAGGTCTCTTCCAGCCTTTTTGCCTTATGTTTTGAGATTGAAGTACGATGGTACGGTGGCTGACAGGTGCAAACATGCTACAACAAGCCAAAACTCTTCCATTAGGAGAAACACACTGCAGCTTGAGTAATGATGCAAGTATAAAAACACAAATGTGACAAAAAACATGCAAATGCTGAAACATCTTCACCAACTTGACAACCCTTGCGCAGCATTTAGAAAACATTAATCAACTTGATGACAGGCGCGAAACGATGCAATAAACTCAAAACACAACCAAAACAGGGGCACTAGAGGTGATGCACACAGCTGGGACCTGAGCGCTTGTTGACAATACAGATTATAAAGTTGGCCAACAGTTATCTTGGCATATTTTGACAATGTAATCGCATGATTCCTTCTGATATTATTGCCAACTTTGTAATCCCCGAACATCAAAAAGCAAGCGCTCCGCACTCAGTTGTGTGCTTCTTGCAGTGTTTTGTTTATGCAGCGCTTTTGGTTAACAATGTGCATGTTTTGTCAAATTGGTTAAGATGTTTCTTCATTTGTATATGTTTTGGCACATTTGTGTATTTATTATTTACGTTATCTCAGACGCTGCAGCGCGTTTTTCCTAATGGATCTGTTTTGGGCCGTTGTAGCGTGTTTTCACTTGTTGGCCTCCGTAAATTTGAATAAAGAAGAAATATTTTCAAACAATTCAACCATGGCAAGTAATGAGATTATCATGATTATCAACAACATAATTCCTAATTTCATGCAATGCTCATTGATACCATGTGTGTTTAGCACAACCCATGGCAAGAGAAAAATCAAATACCTCATGCAGGGAGGTGTACTGCACATGATATGGAGCCACTTTCTCCTCTCCCTTGATCTCCACGTTGATCTGAAGGCGAATGGCACCTGACACGGCGGATTTGTCCGTTCTCTTCTCTGTAATTAAACATAAATTACATTCAGATACATGTGCATGCGTTCTCGATTCATAACTCTGATGACATGGAGGCGCACATGGATCAAGGTCTGTTTAACACTAATTACAGGCTATTACCATGGCAGAGCTATGTAGAAGGGGGGGGTTCTGTTTCTGCAGTTAATGGCAACGCTTGAGGGTGAGGGAGACAATGGCAGTGGGCTGAAGACACTTGAACCAGAGCTTTCCTGGAGGGTGTAGTACTTGGCAGCTAGCCCCTGCTATTTGCCCTGACAGGCATATCATTAGGGGTAATTAGTACATGTCGAGCCGAGCGGTCGATTTCCGACTAGTGCTGCTTCATGATAATCACACATCAGGAGGAGAAACAGGGAAAGTGCAAGAAGATAGAGATAGAGAAAATGTTGCTTCAAAGTCTTATTTCTAATGACCCCGAACCAGATTTATATTTGTCCTTGTTGATGTGATTATCAGGGAGATATTAGATTGAGCACTTCATGGATCCCAGATTGTGAGACACAGCTGATTTATTGGCACATTCATATTCAGTGTCATGCTGTTTCAATGGGAGATTTATTAAAGCCACGGTTAAGTAATTTAAAGCACTTCAATCAAGTAGAAACGAGAGATGCTCAAGGAGTGAACGCCTCAGTCTTAAAAGCACCATGGCTGTGAAAATGAGTAGTGCTTTTAAAAAGGACAGTGATCAAACCAACATGAGACAATGCCTAAGGTTGTTCAATATATGTGGGGGGAGGCATATAGAGATCTGTATCGCAACCGGTTGACCAATCACGTCAAAGCCAGAGAGCTAACCAATCAGAGCTACTTATACTGTACAACCAGTGCTTATAGGAAATAGACTAATAAATCAGCTCCTGTGTAATTAACCGTATGGAGAAGTACTGGGGAATATAATGAAACCAAATGTTTTTGTCAGCAATCGCAGAGGGAATTGACGGAAAAAGCTCGCCAGAGAAAGTCAGTTATCTTAATGCAGACTATTATGAAAGATAAAAAAAAGTTGCTGGAGGCAGAATAAACGTGGCTAATGAGCTTCAAACTACACACTGACTGAACTTTCTGCAAGCAGAACTTTTACTCGCTCAACAGAACAACACAGATGTGTTACGACTATGCACCTCATTGGTAGTAGATCAATTCTACTTTAATAGAAAGTAATGTACTATGTAAGAGGGAACGTGGGAAAAAAGCCAAAGTTAGAACGTAGCGAAACAGACATCGTAAATGAGGAACAACATGCAGTATGTCAAGATCCATTGGCCGTGGGGTAAGGTATTTCAATATTTAAAAGGAGGTTGTGTTTCGTACCAGTGCACAACTTTCTACTGAACTAGCTCAGGTTTTTTAAACCAGTTCCATTAGGGATTCTTGGAAACTTGGAGCAGTTTATGTAGAAACATTGTGATCAAGGATGTGCAATCAACAGAGGAAAATGCAGACTGTACACACAGTAGCAAGATGGTGGATTGCATCAGTAACCTGTAGCTTCTCTTCAGTTTTAAAGTTATTTGTGTTTACAAAACAAAAAATTACCAACTATTTACTGATAACATTGCACACCTTATTTTTTCTGAAAATGTCACACTAGACGTACCTACAAGACATACCAGGGTTGTTTAAATTACATTTGGGAACTTACTTTTTGGGTTAAGAATTGTTTTTACTTTGTTCCAAACTGCTCTGAACAGTTCCAAGTTTGCATTTTATGTTGATGAAAAGGTGAAGAGAAACTGCTGCTATTGCTTTTACTTAGCGTTTTTACAGTGGTGCTATCCTTATGTCTAAATGTTCATCCTTTAAAAAAAGAGCATGAATGAGTTTTTAGGTTTGTGCTTGACTTGGTTCTATTTAATGTTTGATGTACAAACCGTATGCTTCTGATTGAATGTTCATAACAAAGACAGCGTACTGACCCAGGTTGTACCAAACGTCCATTTCTCCACTCAGAGTTCGAACTTCAATTATACTCTGGCCCAGGAAGTCATCAGATTCCCTCTTTAGACGCTGCTTCACCCTCGACTTGATGTCATCATCCTCGTCCCAAACGCGCACTTTAATTCGATCTGAGGAATTGTGGCATTCGCTAGCGAGATAGCAGGAAAAAAAACATGTATATAACCCAAAGAAAAGTATACAAGATTCAATAGCATAAATAAGAGAGATGGTACTGACAAACGAAGGTAGTGCTACTCTTAGTTTGTTGTATGCTTGGGACTATTAGAAAGAACTTTGCTAAGTGTTTTTACATTTATACAAACATTTAATATTCAAGGAAAATGTGTGACTTACAAGTGGTACTTCTCTTCCCAGACAGGATTGAGGTTTCCATAGATAGTCTTGGTTCTCTTCTTGGTCTTTCCCACCTGAACGGTAACATATGGATCGCTGGATCCTGTCTTGTCCTTTGCCTGAAGACCTTGGGCACAAAAGACTATCGCGAAGAGGGAAAAACAAAAACATTTGGAATAACCATTACAAAGAATCAGATGAAACAGATGAGGATGATGCTGAAGGTTAATGATGTGGTTGAGTTCAACAATTTTCTGTCAGTTTCACCTGTGATGGTGATCTTGGCTGACCACTTCGAGGTGCCGTCCAGTACGCTCTGCTTGATGGTCTTCATCTGCTGCGCATGGATGGCTTTGCTTATGATGAACACTTCCCTGATCAGCTCAAAGATCTCTGGTTTGTTCCTTTCCCGGATCTTCATCCTGTCCTTCATGGCCATGATAATATTCTGAGTACGGTCTTCAGCCCCGTGCTTACAACTCTTCTCCGCAGCACCTGAACATTCAACAAAAAATGTATTTAGGAATAAAATCCAAGTTCGAAGTAGAGCCTGTAATGTTAGTAATTGTTTTCGGTACGGTACTCACGCTGTAGACAGTCAGCATTCAGAAGCTCTTGGCACTTTTCATGGCACTTGACCCCACACTCAGAACAACGCATGCCTTGGCGGGCAATTCCCCACAAAAGCCCCTCGCACTCATAGCAGTATGTAGGGGTAGTGGCGGTCCACACCTCGAAGTTATGTGGTGTAGTGCAGGATATGGGGTAGATGAGAGCCTGCAAGGTCTTCTTGTACACATGGTTTTTCTACAGAAGGAAGAATTTTTTGTTAAAGATGGAATTCCTGATTCAGTTATGTTGAAAGAAGAAAGGGTAACATTCAACAACTACAGCCTCAACATAGTTATATTTTTGGTGGATTCCAAAAATGAAGCCAGAAGAAGTTTAAGGTGTTGTACTCACCAGCTCCCCGTCCTTGACCGAGGACCGTACAGCCATGGCCGAAGCGATTCCCGCCTTCCTGGCTTGAACGAGAGACTGAACAACAGGTGACGGACGGACGAAATGTTAGCATTTATGAAACAAATCTACAACCCACAACCAAAGCACACCTCAAAATATTACCATGAAAAAATAAAGGGTCAGTGTGGTTAAAAAGGATGCTGGGGTAGTTGGAAGGGAGGTGAGTAGGGTTATTATTTTCCCAATGATGAATCCTTACCAGAAGATCAGAAAACCCGGGTTAGTATTAATATTTCTAAGCAGCTACAAATGATACCGTTATACCAGTACAGCAACAACACTATAAAAAGATACCAAAACCATCAGCCAGACATTCTGATGGAGTGTTAGTAGAGTATTCTGTCCTTGTACCTTTATTATTTGTGGCTTGCGGGTGAAAAAGAATGCAAACCAAAAAGGTGGAGGAAGGATTTGTTACAGTATATTTTACTGCTAATATCAAGTAGGAATACAAACTACCAATGACCAAGAAGCTGCATGCAAGTGTTTTAATTTTTTAGAGGTTTGCGATCAAAGAGATCGATATGGTGTACATACATGTTCGAGGAAACTACTTTTTTTATTTGTCCTACTTGATATTTTGGTACTTAGGTAGAAAAGGGAAGGGGCAACTGGGTTCTATTAACTTACCATAGCCTGACCAAGGAGAGTGAGTGCATTCAAGAGAGTTGTGGGGAATAGTTTTGGGTTTAAGAGAGGAGGGAGAGAGAAATTAGAAGGCTGATTTAATATTTTTCTCCATTTTTTTATAACAATCTCATCCTAAATTCAGCTTAAAGGTACAGAGAACTGTGACTCCTGGGGTGGTCCAACAAGTACAGATATATGCATTTACATAGAATGAACCAAACAGACAGGATGATGTATGACATACAGTTTAGATAATAGTGAATGACAAGTTAGTACTGACCACGTCGCTGACCAAGGCGAGAGGTTTCTTTTTACGCAAGTCTGGCATGCTGTCAATTCCATACAGACCAGGTCCGCCCCTTTGCACCAAGAAAAATAAAATTAAGGTGAATGAAAAGTCCTCGCAAACAAAGCATGGTAATGCATTACATTTTCACGGTTATCCTAATAATCAAATGATTGCAATCACAACAGTATTAAATTGAATGCTAATTGTTTTAATGACTTGTAATAAAAATGTCAAAATATGATTCTGAAAATTGTGTTAAGCCAAACAAATGTTGGGGTAACTATATATGACTTACCCTGGTTTGTCCCAGGCTTGTCTTGCATTGGGTTCTTCATCTCGGACCTACAAGGTTTGAAATAAGAGAATTTAGCTTGACAATGTTAAGGCTAAAAAATAACAGTATATATTATGGGAAAAAGTTACATTTGGTTGAGTTTCACCTCTCTGATGTTTCAGAACATGCTAAGTCAAATAAAAATGAAGTGATGATGCTTTTAAAAAAACACAGAAACACATTAATGTTGCTCGGCTCTTTAATTGTAAAATAATTGTTTTGTGAAATGCAATGGTGGACCAACATTATGTAGGAACATGTATACAAAACCACACAAAAAGTTATATTCACACAAATTAAGATAAGAAAAGTCTGTTTACCTACAATCTGCTTTTAAAAGAAAACCAGGTAATTCAGAAGGCCTAGATCAAACATTTCCAAGGCTTTCACAAACCACCAATTGTATGAAACACGTAAAGAAGTTATTTTACTTTCTCTTAGTTAATGTAAGTTTCTTATATTGTTTAAAAAACATTAGGGGAAAATAAAGCAGCTGCACAAACACTAGCACTAGGAACAGAACTGGTGAATCTTTCTCTAACATGACATGAATAAGACAAATTATAAACTATTCATCATATAGAATAACTTGGGTATATCATGTGTTATTTTCTTTGCAGTGCACACAGACATTCCCTTTGACAAAGACAAATAATGGAGAACAAGAAAAACTGTTAACCCAACATTATCAACAGGAAAAAAGCATAACTATAGAGAAAGTGTTATATGAGTAACCTGATTATCTTCTCCACCACACTCTGCAAAATAAGTAGAAAAAACGAAGAACAATTAGTAACCATATGGAGTAGTTGACCAAACTATTTCAAGCATGTTTGAAACTGGTTAAAAGAGTCACAAGCAATCAACTAATGACTCTTAAATCAACAAGTGTTTCTAAATCATAGCAGTATAACTCTATATACATTGAGTCTCAATGCAACATACACACATTATATCTAATATAAGTTGTTTCTGACCTTATTTAGCAGTAGAAGTCAAATAAAGTATCATTAAAATATACCTGGGTAAAATTCATCTTGAGATTGGGATTGAGATCCCTGGGAGCCTTGAGAGCCATGGGAGCCTTGAGAGCCTTGAGAGCCATGGGAGCCTTGAGAGCCTTGAGAGCCATGGGAGCCTTGAGAGCCTTGAGAGCCATGGGAGCCATGGGACCCCTGTGACCCATGAGCAGATTTGGACAGTCTATGACGCGTTTGCCTCTTTTCCCTCAGAATGCGCTGGAAATTAGCTACACGCTCTTTGTGACTAGCATCCATGTGCTTTTCTTGAATAACCTCATCAGGAACATGGTTTTCCTTAATTGGACTTAACCGCACCTCATTCGTACTGAGTACTGTACCCAGTGGACTGTCGGCCTTCCTTATTGGACAATGGTCTGGTGTTAAGTCAGAGTTGGACAGTTCCCCATCTGTTGGACATTCTCCTTTGTCCTCTGAGATCTCTACAGAGTGATACTCAGTTGGGGTGCAGGGAGAGGGGCTTGCGTCACGGGGGGATGCTTGAAGGAAACTTGATATGTTTTCACGTGTCTCACTACAATCCACATAGACTGAAGCCTCACTTTCCTCCTTTGGAGTGCCGCATTGAGTGTGATTCTCTGTCACACTAACCTCTCCCTCTGTGTAGTCTGTGCTGCTCCTTTCCTCCTTGGGTTCACTACGTTGACCGACAGGGGATGCAGTTGCCTCCGTCCCACTATCATCTTTAACACCTTCAGGGTTAGGCACTTCCAATTTTTTCAAAGCCCCTTTCAAAGCTGACCTGAAAGTGAGTACAGCCTTACTTAAAGTTGTCACATCAAAACCTACATTGGGGGTCTTGGATGGGCTATCAGCATCTATTTCAGAAGACTCTGGTGACAAAGACTCTGCTGCTTCATCCTTGAAATTAATGTGATCTGTCCATTCCCTGTCCAAACTGTCAGCAGACCCCAGATCAAGAGTATCACCGGAAGATGGACAGTCCTCACACAGTGAATTTGTCTCCAGGTAACCATCATCACAGTCCGTCAACAGCACGGTGGAGCAACTCAGGCTCCTGGAGGGATCGCTACCCATTTCATTTGCACATGCACCCATGGTGTGGTAACCAGAACTACGCGAGTACGGGCAGTTTGCGGAACAGTCACACTCCAAGTGTTCTTCCTCCTTTTGTAGTCTAGGTGGCCTCCAGTCAACCATACTAGCAGAACTAGTTGGAGAGATAGAATGTTGGCCAAACAGTAATGACAGATGTTCAGAGCTGTCATGAGAAGAATGACCAGGTGTGCTGTTTCTTGTCTCCTCTGTGGCACACCTGTCCCAAACACCAAGACAATTCTCTAACCCTTCTCTACTATTGGCACAAGAGTATATGTCCTCCTCGCTCCAACCTGTTTCTCTGCTTATACTGTGGTGCATATCACCAGAAGGCCACCTTTGATATTGTGTGTCACCAGAGATAAAGCTTGCTTCTTGACAATTGGAGCTGTGACACGAGGACAAAGAGCTAGTGCTTTGGTAGTCATGGCCTTGCTGAATATCCAGGTAGCAGGGGTCAGGTTTTGTATGGCCTAGCATGTGTGTATTTGAACTCTGCTTTGAGTTTTCTTTGTCCGTTTGTTGCTCCGATTGGAAAGTGACTCGATCCACATGCCATTGTTCGGGTGATCTTTGAGATGGCATGCATCCACAATCTGTTCCACAATCTTTGCAATCCAACAGTGGACTGGTGTATCGCCCATGAAGTGAAGTGATGGCGTTCTGTCTACCTAAACTTCCTCTCCTGATGCGGGGGGTTTGAGAAACAGGACTAGGTTCAGGTGCAGCTGAAGCCCCAGAGTATAGCTCGCCTATTTCACTGAGAACTGCATCAACACAACAAGATACCTCATCTACCGAGCCTCGCACAGATGTTAGATACTGCCTCAGGTCAGAAATTTCCTCCTGGATCTTGTTGATGCCCTTTAGCTCTTTCAGGATATGTTCCACTATATTACCCGACCCTTGCTCAGCATCCTCATCTTCCATCTCCTTTTTCTCTTCTTTATTTTTGATCCTTTCTATCAGTTTGGGTAAAGTATCCTCCAAAACCCCAACGCCCACCAGGCAATCCGAACTAGGCTTTTCCCCACACAGGACGAGGTCTGCTTTGGTGCAGGCAGTGTCCACTGACGACAGGTCAGAAAGGGAGTTATCCTCGATCCCCTGCAGGCACTTCTGCAACTTTCTTCGCATTCTTCTCCCGACATTGGGGCTCTTTGATCTCTTCTCCTCCAGATCTTGCCTCTTGGGCGAGAGAGGAAGTAGCTCTGACTTATAGGGTTCATCCTGTCCACTGTGTCCTCTGGGGAACATCCCTGAGAAATGGAGCTTTTGATCAGCTTTTACCACACATGGAAAGATCCCTCAGTGATTCCTTCAACTTCAATTGATTGAGTACCTGCCGGACAAAAAGACAAGTTATTTTGTTGACAAATAAATCAAAACTTCAAGAGCTGAGCTGCATTTGTTGTGTATCAATACAATAATTATATGAATCATATTTTTAGCTTAGTTGGTTGGCAGTTCTGCCTCTGCTATATATCTGATGTTAAAAAGCAACCAAGCTGATTATAAACCATCAATTCAATAACATATTTTATATGCTACTTAAAAGACAATAGCAATTTTTTAAGTGGAATGAAATCTTCAATAAAGAATATTATTAATCTTTTGTATTTTGCATTTACTGGAATGACATTTTCATGACCAACAGACAAACAGAGAGAGAAAACAATTTCTGCTTACATTGTCAATACTAAGTGGTTGTGTTTCAATAGTCCATAAATCATGGCTTTAAATATAATTGTTATTACAATATTAAATGTTGCCACAGAGACTATATTGTACAGTATAACATGAGGACAGACAGTGTCTGTAAGGGACCTGTTCTCAGTCTGAGTAGCAACTTGCAGAATAAACTACATGCAGCTGCTTACATCTCTGTAATTAAGATGCTCTGAATTAAGATGCAGAGACAGAAAGGCAACTCAGTAATTAGATGACAGGTCAATTCTTTCCTCTAAGGCCATGTCACACCCATACCAGCTGCACAGCTTGATACGTTAGCTCTACATAGCCAACAGTGTAACAATAATCTATCTAATGACATTACATTATCAATGAATGTATGTTGTCAAAATGTGTATCAGAGAATCATGCCTGTTTTTGGGGAAGCATGGACTTGTTTACAAAAAAGAAAGGTCACAAGTTGAGCAATTATATTACAGATCCCATATGTTCCTTCCATTTAGTCATAGTATTTGTTAGACACAGCTCAGTGTTATCATCTATGTCCACTTGGCATAGCCATTTAGATATTATGACCAGGAATATAGAAAGTCCTAATGTATTGCTGCTGTTGACATTTCCTGCTGATCACCCCTAAAGATCAGCAGTGATTCGTAAGTAAGCCATTTTTGGGGTTTCTTGACACTCCTAACTTGACTATTTAAACAGCAGGAACATGACATATATACAGGAACCTGCTTGTCTCTTTCTTATTCGGATTCTTTATTTCTGTAATAAAAAAAAATAAAAAAAGGTCCTATAAAAGGTTCTGAAATAAAAGCTTTAGTGTAATTTCAGCCTCAAACAAAAAACACACAATCATGTTAACTGTCTCGCATACTATATTTTAAAGGATGCATGCTTGAGTCTAGGAAAGTTCCTCCACTGTTTGACTTGGAGCGGACTGATTATTTTTCTATATTCATTTTAGAAGAAACCTCAATATGGAATATTTGGATTTTGTATTCCATTAAAGTAAATTACTCCAGATGGTTGCAAATTACATTAACACACCCCTGCACTGGATTTTTCCAATAAGCACTTGAGCGCTGAAGGTGTGTGTTAGCCTGATAAGGGTTTGGTAGAGCAGAACAAATCTAATCAAGTATTTCAGAACAGAATGTGTCCAGTCGCTACTGAATTGGAAATTAAGCTCATGAGCGTATCAGCTAAATGGAATCTGAAATAAACTGGGAGTATTATCTCATGTGATTGAAATACCATGGGTAAATGATTATGTTTGTCTGAATAAGAAATGTGAACATCTGTGTTATTGTATCTAAGTAATTTGTCGTATGACGCATTAGCAACCAAATATTAAATAAATCCCCCAAATTAACTTCACTTCTGGAGGGCTACTGGCTCTTTTGAAAGAAGCCATGATCTGCAATGGGTGCCCTCTAATAGTCAGTGATTTAAAAGTCAGCTGTCCAGGAAAGAGAAAGGTTGAAGGGCTGTTGGGGTCAGGCCCAATTTCCAGGACAGTCATTGTAATAGCCTGCAGCAATCTTCTTTCTGTCTTTGCTAAATGGTCTGTGGCCTGAATACAAAAATACATTTTATTTTGAGGTTGTTAAGTTTACATCTTATCAAATAATAACATTTGCTTTAAAAACTTTGATAAACTGACTACTTAAATAGGCGGAAATCCTGATGTTTCCATTGGACGACCAATTTTCTATGTACATTAACACACATGAGTTTATATGTATTACTGTGTATTATATTATTAAAGTCAACACAAACTTGAGATGTAATGCTTAATAGAATAATAATAAAATGTCATGCTTACCTTATCAGGGAAATTATGATCCGGGACAACCTGTAGACATCATCTGGCAATATCTGTTAAGTCCGCATGTAGGGTTGCAGAGTAGATCAGTAAAGAAAAATTCCCTGTTTACTTAAAAATATATGCTCGGGTGAATGTTTAAATGTTTGTCAATCAATCAATCAATCAATCAATCAATCAATCACCAGCATATCTCCTTTAACTGACCGAGATGCAGAAGTGCTGACTCTTCTACTGGCAAGTGCGACAGTAGTAGAGCGCGATCACACAGCAGTTCACCCTCGGTTAAGTAGCCATCCCTAACCCCCTCCCACCCTCTTGCATGCTTTCTTTGCTCTCTCCCTCTCTTTCCCTCCTCTGGCGATGTATTCCAGCACAAAGCTAATCTGAAGCTGTGAGAGTGCCAGCTCAGTCTCATTCACTCCATTTCTGTATCCACATCTGCCAGCAGCTGATATTTCGGGATGTTTCTCTTTCTATTCATAAAAAAGTGAAAACACCCCTGATAAACATATCAGTATTGCTGCTTTTCTTTAACTATACTTGACTGCTTTTAACTTGTCAATGCAACATTTTGAGAAATAATTTGTATTCCAGTGGGTTTTGAAACTGATACTGGAAATTGGCCTGACAGCCAGCTCCATTTCCTGCTCTAAATGCCCCTTGTGTGTCACTGCTTCCAAACATTTTCTAGGAAACTGTAAACACACCACATATCTCATCTTATCCTATTCCACGAATGTAAACAAGCATGTGAGGATGTTTTACAATGTCTTATTATCCTGGTCAGTGTTGATGATGGACTGATTAACAACCCATTCTAATTCATTACAGTCTTTTCAGCATTTAGACTTGTGTCCTAAGTGTTTGCTTTCATCCTGTATTAAATGGCCCTTAGACAGCTTTCACCTTGCTTTCCAGTTATACTCTTCAATCAGCCGTCATATACAGTACATGTTAATCTCAACCATCCCATGCAAACCAATCATGATAATGGAGCCAATCGAGGTTCTACATTAGGTACTCCTTTACTGCCGTGCCATAAAAAGCTTAATCAAGGGGATGAACCACAGTTAGGGCTGAGAGATTCTGATGATTTCATTACGAGCACCCTCTACAGATTTACGATTGTACCCGCAGGATTAGAACCGACATACATGCGCTGGATACAAATTATCCTATATGGTATTGTACAATGTAGTTCAATGTGAGGCTACATGCCATCTTATCCCGACACCAAAAGTAAAATATGATGGAGACAAAAACAATGTCATATGAATGCCTCGATTTGTATTATCTATTTTTCTTTTTCAGAAAAAGGAAGGGCTCCAAATGCTAAAAATTAACATTTATTACTCAGGAAGTTAATTCCTTGATCTGAAAAATTATAAACTATACACATGATTGATTGATGAATGGCTATCATGATGCAATTCCCACATCCCATCTTCTAAGCTAGAACCTCCCCTCTCATTAGATTGTTCAAATTCTTGGAAACACTCAATTATTTTTGTCCACCCTTAGGGATGAGATGCTGGGTGATTCAAATGAGCAGAATATACAACTCATCAGTACAAACCTTATTTGTATCTTGTCCCTGGACTACAGATATTGATTCATTGGGTATTAGTGCAAAATATATTGTTTTATATTCTTTTACAGATTCTGATAATACTAGAAATGAGTGATTGACCCATGTAAACATAGGGAGAGCTAACTTCATCATAACTGGAGTTTCATCTGATTTATTAAATATTAGATGTTTCTTGGAACCTCTATTAAAGCAGCATTTTTGCTGGATGGCTATCGCATAAAAGCAGATCTGATATGCAAGAAATATAGAGGTGGGTGACACTAAATCAAATACACTCATCCATAACTTGAAAAACATTTATGTTGTGGCTTTTAATGAGTTGCTGAATCGCAAGTAGTTCCACTATTGCTGCCCAGAGGCTATCAAAAGTGTGCCATTGTGTGCAACCTACAGAGGAGCATACGCGTGTTGTCGCAAAAAAACTATTCTGTGACATCTTGGTGCATAATTTTAAACTACCAAAGAGGTAAAACTCAACAACATACACATATTCGCAGATGTTTTATCCATCTAGGTATGCGTCTTAAGCTGCATTCACACGATATGTTGAAAAACTGCATCAATGCTGACGTTGCCGTTATGCTCCTACGGAGAGAACGGAAATTCTTGCAAAGCGCTGCGTTTAAAGTATATATTATTTAAACATTGACCTCAAACCCTGCTGACCTTTTGAGGGGCAACCAATCAGATGACAGCAGTAGGAAGTGGCGCAAGCCAGAAAGGGAGCCAACAATAGAAACAAAACTTAACTAAAGTATAAAGGGTAGTCAGATATTGGTAGAGCAACTCTATTAAACCACTGCCTACCTCCCGGAGCTGAACCCTGACTTTATTGATGGCCTTCAACCAACAAATCCTGGATGGGGTAAAGGGTAATGGCGGTCCATCATCATGGAACCTGTGTTACATGGATGGAAAGAAAGACTTGAAGACTCAGTTCTTATGGATATTCATCATAGCACATATATTACCAAATTGAATTTAGAGCATACCTTAGGAGTTTAGAGGTCCCCCTTTCTGTTGGAGTGTCGTTTTTCAGGCCCTGTCCTTCTTCAGAGGTCAGCCTACGTATCTCCTGCTCACCGACGGTATAGTGTCCATTTGTAGGAGGTTGTCCATTGGTGCGCGGCTGCCCATTGGTGGAGGGGTGAAAGCTAGTACTGTGGTAGGAGTGGAAGGACTCCTCCAGTTCTGACCCTCCAGTGCTCTGGCCAGTCTCACTAAGCTGGGAGCTGGTCTGGCTCAGGTTTCCGGATGACCCAAAGCGACTACTTTCCACTGGACTACAATTGGGAGAGAGGAGTGAGGAAAATATTGTCACATTACTTTTTTTGTTAAATCAGCACAAGGTAAAAGACTATTTCTAAATGTTACAGTTTTTCTTCCTGTGGCCAAGGTTAGACAAGTGGGGATTATAACATAACCTGTGTTTACATTTTTACCCATTTTCATAACCACTTTTATATTCACGGGGCATGATGCAGATTAGCTACATTTCTTTCAGAATACAATTTTAAAGATATACAAAAGTTGATTTCTGTTTATATATAGACAACTACAATTATTTCCACCCTGTAAAGCAAAAACACAACACAGATCAGAATTCCATGCTCAAACTAAATGTATATCGTTTATAATGTTGTATGCTTATATTTAACTATAAATATCTCAAAAGACTTGTCTTTCGTACATGCAATATAAATCATTATTAGTACATTCACCATGAATATATTAAGATGTAAATTTAGTTTTGGAATTCTGTTTTAAAATGACATGTACAATTATGAAGGTGCTACACATAAAACTAAGAATCATTTCAAAACACACACAAACACTCATGCACACACATACATAAACTCAAGCTAAATATGACATGTAACTATTGAGGATGGATTGCAGAGCTGAACAGGGAATACATTTTTTCCAAAACGTCAATGCATCATAAATGGTGTGGGAGGATGCCATTTATTATGCTTTTACTAGCCTTTTTGCATTCAATAGATCCTTCTTGGACTGGATGTCCAGCTGCACTCCAGAGGTAGGACCTGCAGAGGGGTATGTTTCTACAAGCCCTTCCTTCTCCTTTGGGGTCAGGGATGCTGAAGGATCTACTTCAGGAGTGGAGATGCAAATCTGGGGGTTTGCTACATCATCTGTTGAACCTACCGATTCAGATTTGTGTGCATCGGCTGTTGCAACCTTTTGTACAGTTTGAGTTTGACCAAGTGTTGCTTTGTTGTCAGTTTTGGGTTGGGATGTTACAACTGGAGCTTGTGGTTTCGGTGGCTCTGCCTGCCAAGGAAAACTGATTTTTGTGCCAAATAATGACGTGGTGGGTGGCTCTGGTTTTCCAGCAACAGGTTTTTCATCTTGAAATAGACCACCAGAAAGGGTTTTAAAACCTGAAAACAGACCACTTACTCCTTCAGTTTGAGGCATTGATGGAGTACCTGAGGACGGTGTTTGTGAAAATAGAGATCCAAAAGATTTTCCTGCATCACTTTGTGTTGACATAAAACCAAACAGGGACTTGGCTTCAGGTGGCTCTGCATTTTTGGGCAACTGATTAACCGGAGGAGCTAAATTAGCATGTGCCTCCTTATTATCCGGTGGGGCTGATTTGTCACTTTCTTTACTCTCAGAGTCTCCCTTAATCACCATGGGCTTCTCATGTATTATGTCTCCCTCAACTGCTGGCGTTTCTTTTTCAGAGTTTTCACCTGGATGGGTGGTGTCATATGTCACAGAGGTTTCCGGACAAGCCGCCTCAGTTGCCACCTCACTACTACTTGTCAAGTTGTTAGATTTGACTTGATCGTGAACTGGTAGGGTTGGGTCCACCTTTTTATTTGTGGTAGTCTCAGTGCCAGATGGAGACACTGTAGGTGGCACACTTTCATTCTTAATCTGTGACTGTGGTGTAATGGCAGGCATTGGCTTTGACTCAGCTGGCTTTGGTTCAGTTGGCTTGGGTGGTTGGCCCACACTCCCAAATAAAGATCCACTTATGCCTCCAAGTATTGATGCTCCAGCCTGTGACCCTGCAGTCTGAGCAGTGGCTCCTCCAAACATTCCTCCAAGTAAAGAACCTCCAGGCTGTGCTGTTGCCGCAGATCCTCCAAACATCCCACCCAGTAACGATCCACCAGTCTGGGGACCTACAGACTTGGCAGTGGATCCTCCTCCAAACATACCACCTAATATTGACCCTCCAGGGGTGGGGGCAGGGGTTTGAGGACCAGACTGAGGCGCTGACCCCTTAAATAACCCTCCCAGTAATGATCCCCCTATCTGGGGAGCTGCATTCTCGGTATTGGAGCCCCCAAAAATACCTCCTAACAGTGATCCTCCACTCTGCCCAGTAGCAGCTTGAGGTGCCGTTGCTCCATGTCCAAATAGTGAGTTCTTCTGCTGTTGCTGAGGAACTTCAGAGGAAGCAACTGTTGGTTTGAAAAGGGAGGACATAAAGCCTGTGACTGCATCTGCTGCTGTGTCACCAATAGATTTATCTGACTCTGTAGGCTTTTGTTGTTCCTCGACTACAGTACTTGCTGACTGAGTGGCTGGTGTTGCTTCTTCTACTTTAGAGAGTGTTGCATTTTGACCTGACTGACCACTTAAAAGCTCTGGTGTAGATAATTCAGATTCTTTGGACTGAATATCATTAGCTTTGGTAGTTGGCTTGTCAGCATCTTGGTGATGAGCTTCTTTTGTGACTTCGCCATCAGTTTTTGGTAAGCTTGCCTTAACACACTGGACTGTACCGCCAGGTTGCTGTAATGTTTCTGCCTTTTCATTGCTTTTTGTAACTGTACCACTTGCATATATTTCAGGACCTGCTAGAGCTGGAGCAGTTTTCCTGTCATCATCAGGTTTTGGTAGAATTGTTACATCTGAAGTAGTGTCTGTAAGAGCTGTAGTTGAAGTTTTCTCGTCATCAATGGATGTTGTAGCTGTTAAAGCGGGAGGAACAGATCCTCTAAGTATAGAAGGCAAACTTTGACCAGGTATCTCATTAGGAGCTGAAGCTTCAGGTAAAATACGATTGGGAGCAGATGTGACTGTCTGTGCAGGAGCGGTTTGAGAAGATGACCCTCCCAAAATACCTCCCAATATAGAGCTAGTATTTGGGGTGGTTGAAGTCTGGGCAGCAGTCCCACCAAACAATCCACCAAAGGACCCACTTGTCTGAGGTGCTGTTGCTGAAGCTGCTGATCCCCCAAAAATACCACCCAAGATAGACCCTGCAGTCGGAGATCCTGCAGCCTGGGGAGCAGATCCGCCAAATAAGCCTCCAAGTAAGGACACCCCTGCCTGAGGGCCTGGTGTGGGAGAAGCTCCACTCTTATTGGGACCAACTTGAGTAGAAACCTGAGGAGCAGATCCACCAAATAAGCCTCCAAATAAGGATCCCCCTGTCTGAGGGCCTGGTGTCGGAGGAGCAGACCCTCCAAATAAACCACCTAGTAAAGACCCCCCTGTCTGAGGGCCTGGTGTCGGAGGAGCTCCACTCTGAGGAGAAGCCTGAGGAGCAGACCCTCCAAATAAACCACCTAGTAAAGACCCCCCTGTTTGAGGGCCTGGTGTCGGATGAGCTTCACTCTGAGGAGAAGCCTGAGGAGCAGACCCTCCAAATAAACCACCTAGTAAAGACCCCCCTGTTTGAGAAGCTGGTTTTTGGGTTGAAGAGCCTCCAAACATTGCCCCCAATAGAGAACTTTCAGGCTGAGAAGAAGGCTGAGGAGCAGAACCTCCAAGCAAGGACATCAGACCTTTGCCTGGTGAGTCTTTGGGATCTGATCCACTAATCATAGACAGAAAGCCGGAAGCTGGGGATTGGTTACTGGTGGTAGGATCGTGGGGTGCACTTTCTGTGCTTGTTTCCTTTTGAACAGTGACAATTTCTGAATCTGGATCCATAGATGCAATATCAGTGCCTTTATTTGTAGCATCCTGTGAAGTATCTACAGTAGCTTCTTTGGATGACCTTACATTCACATCACTTGATATTTCACTGGGTGCTGCTTGGCCATGGCTACTGGTAACAGATGATATTTGGGAAGAACCTTGTGCTGTTGGTGGCACTTTAGTGTCGAAAGTTGATGATGAATTGGGAGTTTGTTGTGGAGGTTGTGGAGGTGTCAATATATCATTAAAAACAGAGAATATACTCTTTGCCTGTTCTTTTGGTGGTGCAGCTCCTGCTGGTTGAGGAGTACTGGGTCCACTAAACATGGAAAACAAAGTGCTTTTTGGAGTGTCACTAGAGGTAGAAAAGCCACCTAATATTCCCCCAAGTACAGAGGCAGCTGGCTGCCCTTGTCCTTGTGGCTGTGCTTGTGGTTTAGATTGTGTGTTGGGTTCCCCTTGTAGTTGAGTTTGTGATTTGGCTACTCTTTGTTGAGATAAGGGTGTTGTTGGCTGAGGTTGCGGAGGACTGGGTTCACTAAACATTGAAAACAGTCCCTTCATTGGGCTTTCAGTTGAACTTGTTGACCCAGGCAAAATCCCCCCTAGTAAAGATCCTGTTTGAGCTTGCTGTTGGTTGCTGGGACCACCAAACATTGAAAGGAATCCTGTATTTGGGGGGTCTTTAGGAGGAACAGTTCCCTGTTGTGGTACGTCAGCAGTAGGCTTGGTTTGAGGGGGAGGCTGAGGAGGACTTGATCCTCCAAACATTGATAATAAACTTTTGCCGAGTGATTCCTGTTGAGGAGGTTGTGGAGCTGCACTTGGTGGTCGTGCTTGAGGCAATGGCTCAGTTTTAGTTGCAGCTTGTGGGGGATTGGGCCCACTAAATATTGATAATATACTTTTACCCAGTGATTCTTCTTGTGGAGCTGTAGTTGATGCAGCTGATTGAGGTGTGGGTCCTGATTGGGCAGTTGCGGATCCTGACAGCATTTCTCCGATTGAAAATCCAAAAAGTCCGCCAGATGGTTTAGTTTCATTTTTTTTCTGTTCTGTAGTTGGCATAGTTTCTGATCGGCTTGTAAACGGGCCTGGCAAAGAACTGGGAGGAAATGGTTGGGATATACTTTTGTTTGGGGGTTGGCTCGGCACAGGGCTACCGCTTTGGTCCATGGTTCGTTGTCTCTGTAAACCCTTAGGTTTAGATGCTGATGTCAATGAACCTTCTGTAACACTCGGTTTCATTTGCTGTTTCTGAGGCGGAGGGGGCTCAGCGCTAAATAGGCTGCTTATTGATCCAAATAGATTTGACACTCCTGTAGCTTCTTTATTTGTGGGAACACTGCCTGGTAGGGATGCAGTGCTGCAAGTT